GGGACCCTTCTCCATGTCCCGAAGGCTGATAATCCAGGGCTACTTCTGGCCTACGATGGCCCGGGATTGTGCGGACCTTGCCCGGAGGTGTCCCGCATGCCAGCACTTCCAGAAAGCCCCCGGCAGGCCAGCGGTCAACTATGCCCCCATCAGCACATCCATACCTTTCGCTCGATGGGGCATAGACCTTGTGGGCCCTCTGCCGAGGGGTACCTCCAACAACAGGTACATCATTGTCGCCATTGATTACTTCACCAAATGGGTGGAAGCGGAGCCCCTCGCCAGCATCACTGAGGCCAGGTGTCGTCATTTTGTTCTCAAAAACATCCTCACCAGGTTTGGCGTCCCTCAGCAAATCATCTCCGACAATGGGACTCAGTTTGAGGCAGCCCCCTTCTGTGCCCTCAGGGCAACGGTCAGGTGGAGAACGCCAACAGGACCCTGCTTGAGGCCTAAAGAAGAAACTGGAGGCCGAAGGGGGTGGTTGGGTGGAAGAGCTCCACAACATCTTATGGGCCTACCGTACCACCCCTCAGCGGGCAACTGGGGAGACACCCTTCTCCCTTTGCTACGGATTTGAAGCCAAAGCCCCCACTGAGGTAACTCTCCCAACCCGAAGGGTCACACAGTATGATCCAGAGGCCAACGACGCCAATATGGCCCTCGATCTCCACCTTATTTCAGAACGCCGAGAGCAAGCCTTCATACGCGCAGAAAACTACCGAAGGCAGGTGAAGAGTTACATTGACGCCAAGGTTCGCACTCGGGAATTCCAAGTGGGGGACTATGTTCTCCGAAGAAGGGAAGCTAGCCAACCAACCGAGGGCGGAAAGATGGCACCGAAGTTCGAAGGCCCCTACATCGTGGCAGCCATCATCAAACCAGGAACTTACAAATTAAAACGCCCTAACGGGACTGAAGTCCCTAGGCACTGGAATGTACATCACTTAGTTAAATTTTATCAATAACATCATAGCGGCCAAGCTCTCATAACTAGTGAATGTATTATTTTACGGCCCAAGGCCTAAGAATTCTGAAGAATGAAGGCATTTTGAAGACACCGAGAACATGGAACAAGATTACCACAGGGGCCAAGCCCTCTTATCACCCTCAGGCCCAAGGCCTCACCACAATAGAAGAACCCCCGGCACCAAGTGCCGAGGGTAGACAATACTATCACCTACGACAAAGCACCACCTGTCCACACAAGGAAACCCTTCGGCACCTGGTGCCGGGGGAGGCACGCCACTAGCAGCTTTCAACAAATGAGAAGAAACACCAAGTGTTTCCACAGAAGACCCTTCGGTACCAAGTACCAAGGGTAGATAACATAATCCCCTTCAATAATCGGGGAGAAACACCAAGTGTTTCCACCGAAGACCCCTCGGTACCAAGTACCGGGGGTAGACGACACAATCACCTCCAACAAGTAGGAACAAACACCAAGTGTTCCCACAGAATACCCCTCGGTACCAAGTACCGAGGGTAGACACCACAGTCCCCTACGACAAGTGAAGAAAAAACACCAACTACTTTCACAGAAGACCCCTCGGTACCAAGTACCGGGGGCCGTAAATCGGAACAAACACCAAGTGTTGTTTCTAAGCCGTACCCCTCGAGGACGCCTATACCGAAGGCGCCACCTCTCGGTGCCGGCAGCACGTAGTGCACCCGGCCATTTGCAACCAGTGTGCAAATGAAAACCCTTCCCTGAAACGCTTTCCGCGTCATCACCCCAAGGGTATGACAGGCATGAGAAATGCCCAGGATTCAACTTTCAAAAATGGAACGCTTTCCGCATCATCACCCCAAGGGTATGACAGGCACGAGAAATGCCCAGGATTCGACTTCCAAACCGAAACGCTCCCCGCGCCACCACCCCAAGGGTGTGGCAGGCCACGGACTATGTCTAGCGCCGAGGGGACGACTTTCAAAAATGAGGCGCTTTCCGCGCCATCCCCCAAGGGGAGGCAGGCTACAGACCACCATGTCTTGTACCCAGGAAACGACCCTCGATCCCCTCGGAACTCGGAAGGTTAACCCGAGGGGGGAGCTAATGGTGTATTCTGTTACCTCCCGATAGGCCAAGCCTTACCAAGAAACCAAGTTTCTTGAAGCCTTCCCTTCACTACTAAAAAAAAAATAGGGTGGTGAAGGGGAGTAGACTCGGCGAGAAATCAATGAGTACATCACTCCAACAATTCACAAAAACATACCGAGGGCTCCCCACGGGAACACCTTCGGTACCTTGGAAGTTCACAAGTACAAAGGATACCATTCACAACAGACATAATCAACGAATGGCTAAGTCCACTCAAGGATTGCCTCCGGCTATACCTAAAACCGAAGGCTCAAACAACTCAAAACGTCCCCGAAGGGCACTATATGACAAACAACCGAAGGCTTTTGTTACCATAGCCCAACATTGCAAAGCAAAGGAAACTATCCTAAACCTACAACGCCTACAACCGAAGGGTTCCCAACTACCGAAGGCTAAAACCGTATTCAAACACTTAGAAAAATTTTCTAAGTCCTAAGAACCTCACCTCCGGCTATCTCACGAAGGCTACATGGAACCAGAGGGGAGGGACCGGCCGAGGGCCAACAGATGAACAAACACTTAGAAATATTTCTAAGTCCTGAACGTTGTGCCCTCGGTGAAAGGTTCAACTGACTAAAGGTTACTGGTAGCCGAGGGCTACAAGAAGCACTACACTTGGGAGAATGATAAGTCCGTATTTAGACACGCATTTAATGCGTGTTGGGATCGGATTTTGATGGTTTTCCTAGATTTAAGGTGTTACAAGTCTCAATTTTAGCTCAAGTTTTGTTTACCGGGCGTTGGTTCGAGTTTTGTGTTATTTGGAGTCAAAATCAGGGAATTTGAGCCCAGCACCGGTGCTTGAGGAGCAAACGAGATGATTCGAGAAGCATTCAAGAGTGAATTGACAGCATTGGAGGTCACCGGGAGGTTCACGATGAAGATTTGAAGGGAAAAAAATTCTAGGATTGGCTACGGGATCAAAAGAAGACAAAGAGAACTTGAAAACGGTGTTCAGGATGACCTTCTGTCAATCGTTCAAGCATATATCTTTGTAGAAGCGTTCAAAGGACACGATTCAAGTTGCATCTGAAATCCAACTTCAAGGGATACAAATCATATGAAGACATCATTCCGAGAATCTGAAAGGAAGAAGGTGAAAACAGACGATGAAGTCAGATGCTCCCTGTTGCGATTTCAGAATGAGACATTTCACCATTTTATTCATATCTCTTGATTGATTGATTTAAATCCAATTCGGAAAATTGGGGTGGATAGAGGACTTCATTAGCTACAACTTTCATGAAGGAAATTGTGTCAAATTCGGAATAGATAAGCCGGAAAAAGCACTGGTAGCCACGCACGCGTGCGTAACAAGGGACGCACGCGTGCGTCCAACGATTTTACGCGTTTCTCTGTTGGACACACGGACGCAACGCACGCGTGCGTAGGCGCCGTGCGTACCTATTTTGTTACCTAATTTAGCCCAAATTACTATGTTTCCTATAAATATCACCCCCTTAACCCTAATGAGGGGGGATGGAAGTTTAGAGAGAGATTAAGGACGGGATTAGAGAGTTTTTTCAGCCAGGTTTATCAATTCCTTAACATTCTTTGTAAATTCCTACTTTTTTATTAATGACAATTAATTCTATCTATCCCAATTCTATTGATTCTTCAATTATGAATAGGGACTAGTTTTAATTAGGGATTTGGGGTTGATGAAGGGGTTAATCATGATGTATGGTTAGGTTCTTGATGGTGTAAATTGCATGAATGCCGTTTAATTTGTGTTTGAATAATTTAATTGATATCTTTTGTAACCTAGAATGGCCACTAGAATTACAATTGCTTATAGAATAAATTAAGAGATATCTAATTTGTTCTAGGACACATTCACACGCACTTAATCGTTTGCTAAGAGATTAGTAGCGATTAAGGGGCCGTAAGCTCGTTCGTCTTGGCAATAATTTAGGATCCTTTCACATGAGAGATCAGCCTGGTCCCCTAAATTATTGTACTCTACGCCGCGAGAGCGGTAAGAACTTAGTATTGATTAGCTAGGCTCAATTAAATTAATTTCATGTAATTAGGCCTGGTCTGCTAGAAATCTGATTACCCCGGAATCAATCCCTGTTCCCTTCGTCGTTAATTAGAGAGAACCCAATCTTTTATTTTAATCATTCATTCGCATTAGTTTAATTTTAATTCAACCAACCTATCTCGCACGACGCATTTATTTTATTTTATTCTTTTTTTTAATCGCTGAATTTAATTAATCCTTGATTCCCTTTTGTCCGTCCCTGTGGAGACGATACTCGTACTTTCACCGCTATTCTACAATCTTTTAAAGTGCGAGAAAACTCACATCAGAGAATATACTCTAAGTCCTAAACATACATTCAAAGAAGCGAAAACATACATTCAGGAAAGGCGAAAGCATACATTTAAAGAGAAACAATGAAAGGGAAACACATTATATACCAAAAGCCCGAAGACGTGTATTCATTCATCAAAGAAACTAAATTCAAAGTTACAGAGGGCCGAAGGCCGAGGGCATACAAGCATTCATTACAAAGGGATTGTTCAAAACATGTTGAATTAAGAAATTACAAATTTACATCCCCTGGGGCCGTCTCCTCCGAAGGCTTCGAAGTGACCTCTGTACCGGCCTCAGGTTCGTCACCCTCGGCCTCCTTCATGAGCTCGGTGTCCTCCAGGTCTGGCCTCTCGACATCGGAGGGGAGAGGAACACGGACGTCTGGCTGCAGGGGGGAAGTCTGTATGCCGCCGGGTCGAAATCCTTTTGCTCAATCTTCAGGTGGCGGGCCATCCTCCGGTAGATAAGGGCTTGAGTGAAAAACTCACCCCCATCATAATACTGTTTACCCTTTTGGGAAACTCACTCCACACCGGGCCCATCGCACCACTCGTCGACCGAGGACTCGACGACCGAGGACAGCCATTGCTTATGCTCCTCTGCTCGCCACCCCCCTGCCAAGAAACCAGAGATGGCGTCCCCTCGGGCATTCTCGACGGCCTCCGCTCTGGCGGCCTCGGCCTCCCTAGCAGCCCTCTCAAGGGCCTCAGCTGCGGACCTTTCAGCCTCGGCCTTGCCCCGGTCTGCGGCTTCCGCCCGCAGGGTCATCTGCCGAAGGCTCTCCTCCAGCATAGCCATCTGCCGGATGTCATCGGAATTCTGGCGGATGAGCTCCCGCATCTTGGCATCCTGCTCGGCCTTGCGAAGACTCCACTCCTCTAGGCGTCGGGCCTGCTCTCCGAGGGCAATGCACTTCTACAAAAATATAGAAGTTAGGAAGGCCGTACATGATTTCCTAGCTCAAAGTAAAAACGGTAAACTATCAAAAACTTACCGTGAGGGAAGACCGGAGGATCCTCTCCTCAAGGGCTTGGTCATCATCAGCACCGAGGGCTGCTCTGTCAATCTCAGGGGTTATACCCCTTAGAAGCACCCTCGGGTCAGCCGTGCCATTCATCACGGCCGTACCAACCGGGAGGGAAACCGTCAGGACCTCGGAAGATGGCTCCCGGACACCCCCCGGCACTTCCGCCACCGTCATCTCCTCGTGCACCCTGGAGGCGGGGCAATCGTCAACAATGACCACCGAGGGACTTTTCTTCCCGACATCCCCGGTCTTGGGCTTTTTGCTCTCTGGAGCCTTGCCCGCGCCTTTCCTCTTGGCAGCGGCAGCAGCATCAGTATTTGGGGCCGCCGATGGCCCCTCCGGCTTCTTGAAGAAGTCACAGGCGGGTTTTGGGACACCAGCATCCGTTCCCCTCGGGGCCTTGGAGGACTTTTTCTTCTTCAAATCAGCGAGCCCCCTGACGTTCATCATGTTGACTGGGATACCTGCAAAACAGTGTGGGGTTAAAACCGAGGGGTCACTAACAGATGGCACACAAAAGAAACAAACAACAGATAAACTATCTACTAAGATACGTAAAAGAATATGTAACTCGCGTTCAGACAGGTCAAATGCAACTCGTGTGTATAAATATGTAACTAGCGTGTATAAATATGTAACTTTACGTGTAAAAATATGTAACTTTACGTGTAAATATATGTAAGTCGCGTTCAGGCATGTCAAATGCAACTCGTGTGTATATATATGTAACTCGCTAATAAAAATATGTAACTTGCTTATAAAAAGATGTAACTTGCTTATAAAAAGATGTAACTCGCTCATAAAAAGATGTAACTCTGATGGAGTATATGGCCCGGGAACCCCCGGCCCACAGACTCCTACTACTCCAATAAAGGCTCAACAGGCCCAGAAAGCACAACAGGCCCAAATCACAGCGCCCAGAGTACCAAGCAGCCCACAATGCGCACCAGGGGTGCCTTCGGCCTCCTGGCCGAAGGCTCTAACTCTCACAGGAGAGCCAAGACAGCAAAACAAAGTTACTGGGAAAAACGGCGAAAATCAGTAGCCCTCAGCACCTGGAGCCCTCGGCACTAAGGGGGTCCCCGGTGCTCAGAGCCCTCGGCTAGTCCTCTACGGATCTACAGCCGAGGGCACCTTTCACGACATGATATCCGCACCACATGCGTACAGATCACCATACCCTGTACAACGTCCCATCCAACAGCCGCATTAAATGCGGCCACATGCGGTTGCCAGCGCCAACCAGTTGAGATGACCTCTCGGCCAATAGACGCTTGACACGTGTCCCTGTCCGGCATTTATTGCTACTATAAATAGCACCTCATTTCCCCATTTGTAACCAAGTCATAACACGCTGAAAACGTTGAACACTCTCCAATATACTTTCTCTCTCTATACTTACTTGCTCTGACTTCTCTCTTGTTATTCCCCGTAAAAACCTCTCGGATAAGCTACCCCCCGGGTACACTATCCATCAAACTCAATGTATTATCAAATGTAACTGAGACCACTGATCCACTCCCAAACAGATTCGATCTTCTATTTCACAAACCTATGATCTCCCAAACATATTCGATTTTCCTTATATTCCAATACTCATTGATATAATAGTTCAATAATTTCTTAAAATTACATAAGCAATATTGGTCTCATTTGAAAGATCATGAAAAATAAAAAATGTTGATATAATTTTTTTAAAAATCGGATCAAAAATAAAAAAGTTATTATCATTTTTTAACAACAAAAGCAAAAAAAAAAAAAAACCAGCATGCTGCGTCATTTTGCAACCGGGCGCACCATCCTCATGGTGCGCATAATTTGCACCATGAGGTGCCGATTGTACGGTATAATTTGCTATAGCAAATAGTGAGTCATTTGCTATAGCATTACTGAATTTTATTTAAGCCAAATAGGTAATAATACATATTCATATATATAGACCCTAAGCCCTATCTTACTTCCTTAAGTTTTATGTCTAATACGAAAATGGTCCATAAAAATTGAATATATATATATATAAACTAAAAGATAAAAATAAAATTGATCAGAGAATGGTGAATGAAAACTTTTGTTGAAGATTGGAGGTAATATACAATAAACTATGAGATATGTGTGTTTAATTAGGGGGTTTGACATTTATTTTATTAAAATAAAATGTTTATGTTTTATTGTTTATTTTTAATGTTTTCAAAGGGCCCTTTTATAAAGTTTGACTCAGACCAATTTTTTTTAGGACCGGCCCTTCTTTAGGGATTATAATTTATTTCAAATATTATATTGTAGTTACATAACATTAACCCCGGTTAATTTACAACTACTACCTTTCTTAATATGCGCAGTTAAAGTTAAATATACATATACCTCTTAAAATACTAATAGAAAAATAAAATGTACGACGAATCTATATGCCTAGGCTGCAGATTAAGCATTTGGGGGGGGGGGGGGGGTTGCAACTATGCGCAATAGGCGGCCAACTAATTCACCTAGGTGCAAAATTAAATAGTCAAGGCGCTTAATCAGAGCTGTCGGCCACTGCGTAGCTCCTAGGCGTGGATTAGTCGGAAGTCTAGAGCGATTTTAGAACAATTGTAGTAATTATAAAACTTAATCTTAGTAACTTATTATAGCCACTTTTTCCCATAGATTTATTACTAGTAATATTATGAATACCTATTGTTGTTGCTAAAAGTAGTTTAGAATATAAGTATATTATATCATTAATTATATGGGTGATAACTGATACTCCTATTATTCAAATTATTATTCCTAAAAATTGCATTGCTTTTCGTCAACATAAAATAACCTCAAGTTTACCAAATATGGCGAAACAAACTCATTGTGATCGATTATCGAAGCACATAGGCATTATATTGCATTAATTTAAGTAAAGCACAAAAATAAATGATTTCAAAACAGACCTAGATACTATATTAGAGGTCAAGAACCTCCCTCCAAAAAATTTAAATTAAAAAAAAAACCACATACATTGGATTCTTAATGTGAAAGCTAGGGAAAATGGAATGTGCAATCAATATTATTGTTGAAAGAGTGCAATAATAATAATCCTGTAAATCCGCTATATATTTAATTTCTCGCCATATACATGCATGGATGATTGATTGAGACGTAGAAGGGGTGTGATTGAAATTTGAGATAAAATTAATTAAAGCGTAGGGTGTGCATGGAGCCAATATACTACAATTTCAAACATAGTGTTTGAAAATGGCCATGTTTTCCATGTCCCTTTGTCTTCAATTTGTCCAAATCAGAATGTCCCTTTGGAATTTTTATTGCAAAGTCCTAAAAGGTATCCTATGCGAATTTCGTCTTTACCGGCGTGAAACTCGACGACTGATGGGCCTATAAACCGACGACCGACTTTGTATATCATTATTTTGATTTATTTGTTCGCTTGTGTTTTTTAAGATGATAAGGCCTACCAAAATATGTACTACGAGTATATTTACTAAATAAAGATCAAGTTTGGTAACACTGTTATTAAATAAAGATCAAGTTTGTTAACACTGTTATTCGACTTATTAATCTACGATCAACTTTTTCATCAAACACGTAATTTTTTATTTCGCGCGTTGAAATGTGTAATTAAGAAAAAGTAAAGTTGGAGTTGCTTTTCTGCCTGTTTCGGCTGAAGTTATTGTTGAAGACCATTTTAGCCATTTTAATTTTTTTTTTCTTTTTAATCAATAATATATATTTCAAATTTAATTTTCTTATAAATCAATAGAATAAGCCAATACAATCACTTAAACCAGAACTTCATAAATTTCAGCAGGATCAACCGAATTAGCCAATTTTAGTGTTACCAAACGGGCTCAAAATCAATTTATTAGTATATATCCTATAGAAGACGCGTATGACATTCTTTATAATATCTTTATACAATTTTTCTTTACAAGTGCATGCCTTTATACATTTAAAATACTGATACACCCATTGAGTGCCATGTGCTGAGCAGTCATCGCCGTTTTTAATTTACAAAGTGTATTGTTGAAGTACTCGTATATTTTAACACAATTTTTCATAAGTGAGAATTGCTATTTATACCCGCACGCACGGGTAGCTCAGTTGGTCGAGTGGTGGAAAAATTGGACCAAGTGATCAAGGTTCGAAACCTGCAGCGGCCGTGTGGAGGTTACAGAACCTGAAATAAAGCTGGACCTCTGGTGCGCACATGTATAAGGCCTACCGTCGCTTTGCTGACTGAGTCTCCGTGATTAACTCCCCCACAATCATGTCGGGTCGGGGGTGGGGGGCTCCTGGGGTATGAGATTATTCCACTTTTTGGACCAAGAGAATTGTGATTTTAGTCTCATAACTTTCGACTCTACCCGTTATTATTCATGTAACTTTACTTAAAGTTCATTTGGTGGGTCTGTTTTTCGACTTATCAAGCTTATAAGTTATTTTTTTAACCAAACACGGACTTTTGATTTCACGCGTTAAATCGTATAATAATGATAAAAAGGTTGAAGTTACTTTTCTGGTTGTATTGTGTGAGGTATTGTAGATGCTCATTTTAGCTATTTTTCATATAATTTTTTTATTTCTTAATAAAAAATATTTTAAATTTAATATTTTCATAAATGAACAGAATCAGCCAATGCAACCACTTCAACCAGAACTTCATAAATTTCAGCGAAATAAGCCGATTCAGCGTTACAAAACGGGCTGTTTGTTTCAGCTTTGAATTTGTTGCTAATAAAAAATTTAGATATAAGAATTTTTGCATGCGAAAGTACACTCTTTGTCACCGCAAAGTTACTGTACTAAAATGACAATTCTCCTTTTTCATAATATTGCCTAAAACGGAATTCACTCACTCGTGGACACTAGCTCCTCCACTTCTTTCTGAATACGCATACTTATTTTTTAAAAACTAAATACGAAGTGTATATACTTGGTATTGGCATGGTTAATTTATTAATTAAAATTTGGAGTGGGCTTTTTCAAAAAAAAAACAATTGGGTTGGAACGGTCCTTTTGACAATACAAATTAATTTCTAATACGAATAAATTTTGAGAATTATTTTTGGTATCATATGTGTAACAGACCCGGATTTGCAATGGAGCCAAAGATTCACTATTTTTTGGCTTGGGAATATGATGGAATAAAGCAAAATGACTCACTAAACTGTCTGCGCTTCTTTATTGTGAAGCAGCAGTCAGTCCATGTATTTTTCGACGTGATTTTCACTATGGGTCATTCGGAAACAGTCTCTATGTGCTTTAGTACAGGGGTAAGACTGTGTACATCCGACCCCCCTTACCCCACCGTAGGTGGGAGCCTTTGCGGCACTGGGGTAATGATGATGATGTGTAACAGACCCGATAAAGGAGTAAGTGTTTTGAAAATATTTTTGATGGAAAAAGGATATATTAAATTCATGAGCACAAACAAGACTACAATAATCAC